GGAATTGTTTCATATCACTTCCGTCTGTTTTTCAATGTCAAGTAAAATCTACGGTCAAAATCCTTCAGAAAGTCTTTCCACTTGTTAGAGGATCTCCTTTTAGTCTGTAGCAAGCTTTTAGCGCCTCGCCTAACTCATGTTCATCAATTTTCCTTTGTGTGATTTGCTTGAGTTACATTCTGTAGGACTTTATTCTTGATTGTGTCTCTGACTGTTTACCAGTCATCATCTACTGTTAGCCTCCAGCATTCTCATGACCATGGGGCGTTTAAAATGTTTCCACTCATGGTCGCATAGTTTGCTCGGATGTAGCAAAGGTAGTGCTCGTGTTCGTCCCTCCTGAGTATTTCGCTTACGACCATGCTAAACTTGACTGTGCCGTGGTCACTACTTCCTACTGATGTGTGGACAAGGATATCCTCAGCTATCACCCAATTGAGGGTTTTCCATTCTTAAACATATGTCCAGTCAGTCCAGAACTTCTTATGACTACGAGAATTCACTTTTGAAACCAACCATGCATCCTGGGTTTTCGGGACGGAGGTTTTAAGGATCCAGCGAGTAGTGTTTTATGCAGTCGCAGAAGTGGTGGTCGTAATGTCACCCCACTTAACTTCTCATCCTGGGTGTTAGTGCCTGTGGGGCTGGTGCAAAAAATCCTTCTGATCAAGTATTTGGCGCCATTTGTTTTGAGGCAGCAGTAGAGTGATATTGTCACGTCGGTTAGTTGTGTACTAAATGGTGTAAAGGCTTTGAAATGGCCGTCAATATATACCACCAATCCATCTCTTTTCTGTATTCCATCGCATCGGATGAGTGCCATGCCTTACAAGCTAAGTCCGTCATCTGCAATGCCGGGGGATAGCCTTGCTTTAGTTAAAATTACGACCTTATGATCCATCTTAGAGCATAAATACCTGATGGCCTGTCTCGCCACCTGGTGCTCCTTTACGGTTGTTTCTGTCCTTGGAAGTTTAAACAAGTCAACCAAACTGATTTGGTCACTTCTGTGGGCACTGGCCGATTTGCTTGTATAGTGTATTTAATCGGAGAGACTGTGATCTTCGTGTCATGTGTCGTGGGTTGTAGATCGAGGTCGATCGACATGGACGTGTGCTTTATTCGGCCTCCCCGCACTGTCTTATTGATCTAGATCGGCTCCCACGACACATAATGTGACTAGAGAGATCTTTCCTCTTGCTGTACCAAGTCTGAAGCTGCTCAATTAAGTCTTCCAAGTTTCTGAAGTTCACGTCAGTCAGACGCAGGAATCAACATTCGTAAGGTGTGACTGACAAGGCATCCGGGAGACTCTAGTTACCGTGTTTGTGTGAGGGCCTACGCTACGTGATGGCCACCACTACTGTTGCACATCGTGCGCATAAGCTTTACCCAGGCTCAGGCACCATGCTGTTTTGTTCTTAGGTGTCTGTTGTTGTTCTGGGGGCTGCTTACAACGACCATGGCTTGCCATGTCTGTGTCAGATTAGGAAAGACAGTTTAACTGAAGGTCTCTGGGATGTCCTCGTCCTCGATTTGAAGAGTTTTGGGAACTATGGTGTTTCTGTCATGTTTTCTTACTCTCACTCACCCAGTGGGACAATATCAACAATATTAAAAATTATTGCTTTTATTTCGACTTATGATCTAATTATTTACAAATTTGTAAAATGTAACAAAAGCAACGACGCAACTGTTCTCTGTGTGTCAGTTGTCTGACAGAAAGGAGATCATGTCTACCATGAAATAATCTTGCGCTATATTGAGCCGTAAAGTATGAGCAGTTTTTATCGTGATCCTTTCATGAATTTCGATAGTTTAACGTTCGTACTAGTCCGTAGATTTTGTTACTAAAATCAGAACCAAGTTCTAAGCTATGAATCCTCGTTATTTTACAATTAAATCTTAAAGTATATTTCATAGAAATATTATTTTCGGATTTATCCACCTAGGCCATATGATAGTTCGTTCAAAGAGTTGGTAGTTCCAGTGGTATATGTTTAGGGTTTTATATCACTGCAAAATAAATATGTAATTTATGTAATAAAACACCCAGTCGACGTCATTTTGGATGCGTTAAATAAGTATGTGAAACAGTCATGATACGTTTGGCCACAAGCTCTTTATAATCTAACACTATTTCAAATCCTTAGAAGGTAGTAGAAAGATAAAGGTTCACAGACAGCCCGGGAGAATGAGCATAACCAATTGGTTTGCACACCGTCGGACCACAAATCATCGACAAAATAATATTTATTGAGCCCTAAGACTCAAAATTTTCTATCTATAAGCCACGACTAACAGTTTCCGTGCTACGTGACCCTTTAAATTTGCACCACTGAACTTGCAAATTCATTCGGTGACTGTTTAAAACTTCTAGGGCTGAAGTTTCTTCATACGGCATTAACTCTCCGTTGATTCTCCAGAACAGAACAATAAGCGGTTCATTTATTCTTTGATTCCGTAGATCCATGAAAGTTTCTTTCTGTGAGCAAGAAAAAGGATAAATTAACATATCTATATAAAGTGTTTGTTTCCAGCATGCCTATTACACTGTACACCGTTTTATAAGAAATATGTTGCCGATCTTAACATTTTGATGTTGCCTGCAAATCAGCACGCCTCTTGTCACCTGTTAGTTATTTGAGAATAAATTATCATTATCATATGGGATTGAATTGTGATAAATGTGATCATCGTTCAATAAATAAAGGTCGCAAATACAAAACCTAAAAAAATCTAGAAGCTGTTGGCTTTGAACGTACAATCCATATGTTTCTCTCTATTAATCGTACAAATGACTCAATTATTCGCGCTGGAACCGTAATGAAGATGTACATATAAGCATATTATTGTGGTAAGGACACTGCCATATTTATATTGAACGGTAACCAATGCTATGAACTTGGTAATCCATCTGTAATGTTTAATATCAATTGCTGATACAAAAGCGATCAATTTTATCAACTTTTTCACTAACGATAATTGCCTTAACAGAATTGTAACTTTATTCACTAACTCTAAAGCTATGCCATTATTGATACTAATAGGAATAATGAACAGCATTTGCACGCCTAAATCGTCCTACTGGACATTATCTTCCTATCTAAACGTGATCTAAGTGCAAGCTCCAGTCAACTGAACTTGAGTGTAATCGAACAAGTTACAGTGGTTTAAATGCATTAAATCCATTTATAACCACTCTCTAACTGGCCATTTTCATCCTTGATATAGTGTAGAAACATTTTACGCAGATTACTGGTTTCAAGAGTTCCGTCTTCGTAAAAGCATGCCTCTAACTTTTAGAATAGCTGTTTTCCAAGTATATGTTTTGCTGACCTTAGAACCAAAAAACCCTTTAAATCAGAAAACGCAGGAATAGGCAGTTATTTACCATTACCATCTTTGAATTAGACTGTTAGTCGATGCGAACCAATCTCTGCATTTGTTGGGTCTAAAATTCATTCCGATTGAACCTTTTCATTTTAAGATAGTAGATATAGCAACAAATTATATTGGATCTTTTGTTTCACTTGACGTTGATTGACAATCAACCTGAGATTAAAAGTCGTAAGTGGTAGATATTTAACTCAAATATTATTGAATGGCATTTTTTATTGATCAAGATCATTAAATACTGAATTGGGATCTGAATATGAGCTTGTGGATTCCACTGCTGGTAACTATCAAACTGTGCTCAAGAACAAAAACAACTGTAACTACTAAAGCTTATTTTACTTCTAGCGTTTCATTAAATTTGTACTAAAACCTGTTTTTCTCATTATCATTGGGTAATTTAACTCCTACACATAGATGCACATAATAGATCGACACATAGTTACCTTTAATTCCGAAGTCATTTAGGGATTTCACGCTATATTCCACTTCAAGCCGTAGAATATACTGTGCAGTCACTTGAGAAGGCAAATTAAGTAAGAAGGTCTGATTATCGGCCAACTTAGATGCTATAACTCTGTCCTCACAACACCTTAAAGGAGCTTAGTAAAGATCTTGTAACAAAAGAAAAACTAAATGTATACAATGAGGATTCCAGAGACTCAACTAAAGCCTGAACTATGTAGCAACTTCTTAATTTGCAGTTAGATATTCGGGCACTGAAAAAATTCTAATTTCGTTTAAAACATGCACCCAGCCACACCATAAAGTCATTCTAATGTGTCTCATCTTTTTAGGTAACCATACTTTTCGGGAGAATTCGAGTTATGCACATATTTAACGAAAACGGTAATATCACTAAGGCATAAATCGTACATCTCCCAATTTCACGAGCTTAGGCTATTTCCATTAAACTAAAAAAATTATAGTTTGCAACACTCAGGATAGTTCAGATCATCCTGTTAAGGTTATCCAACCAAAAGCTCATCACAACTATCATAGAAAAAACAGCAAAACTATCCATCAACGAATAAATTGAGCACTTTGAATTTCCGAATCCGTCCGAAATCTAATCCGGTAGTGAAAAATTGACCAGTCAACAAATAAGGATGAAGTGATCGGAAAATTGCATGGAATCATGAATACAATAATGTGACAAATCAAATATTGTAATGCTTGTATGAAATAATGAAAATGCACATAAATACACTACCTATGACAGCGGACATCAGTGCTCTGTCTATGGGGTACTACTGCCAAAAATTCTGGAATAAAAAGATCTATACGAAATTGGAAGTCAAGACGTGGAGATTACTCCTCACTGTCATATAAAAACTGGTCAATAGTTTGTCATGGCACTATTACGTCGTACAGCCTTCGGGCACCTTGAAGAAGTTTTTACCGTTGTATCCCACTTCTGCTATACGTTCAAGAGAATACTAGGCCTAACCACATACTAGATGTAGAATCAAGATGAAAACGCTTATGTGATTACTCCAAGATTAGGCGTTTAGTGAGTAACAGAATATTCCAACCTTTCTCATATTGAACGTAACAGATTATAGAAATACGAACTACTGACACTCCTGTATAAAACAATCTATCCAATATTGGATATTAGATTGGATATTGAATTGCGCGTCTTCGAAACAATTCGATATAGAAGTATGGTGCACATGACAGGCTGGCCGAAAGGTTCAGCCGAAAAGTTCCTCCATTCTACGCCTGTTGCTAAGACGATAACATTGTAAGTGTTTGTAACTTTTCTGTAGTATTATACCAGTTAACAATTAGATGACAGTTGCATTATATTTCATGTTGCTTAACCAATGTTTTTGGACGTAGATAGTCATGAACTGTGGATAAACGGTTGAATTCTGGTTTAGAGAGTCTTCATTAAGAATTACCGGACTATTATTTTTGTGTCCCCTTATGTGCTAACTTGTACAAATCAGTTTCCGTCCTAAAAAGTTTTTTGTACATCAAGTTAATTATTAGCCGATTGTTAAGAACTTAGAAATATTTCAAGGATAAAATCAGTGAAATCCAAAGTGTTTTTATAATTTCGCAACGATATCCTACACACAACGGTTTTCACCATAGTGGTTGTTTAGTATTTGTTATAATTGAGGTTTTGCCATTATAAGTTCAGTCTCAGGCATAGCGGATCCCGATTATTATTACTATCATCTGACTAGCTTTACAGCTGTTTAGCAATTCGAATTGGCTAAATCAGGCATTCCAACCACTGGGAGTACACTAAACCAAAAACGCACTGTCGGCAAATCAGAAACTCATCAGCAAAATTACTCATTTCTGTATCCCGAACGGCCTGCACTGTTTATTTTAAAGTATAGTTGATTGTTATGTGTGCTGGCTTTTAGTAATTAATATGTCTTTATTTGTCCCAAAATCAAATGGTTCTGCTTCCCTTACCTTCCCTAAAATTTTCTGGACAAAGTTCATTGTCATGTATCAGTATTATCACACACGGGTTATATATAATAGAGACATCTGACTCCTTACAAACAAGATAAACTCATTTCATCTACCTTAACCTTCAGTTGATTCATGAATATTATCTAGATATGGATATATCCGTTAAGTACTTTAAAATTTAACTGAAGTTTGTATCCCTATGTTCGAATAAATTATCATATTTCTTGACTAATTTCTTCAAACCCTAATCTTCCCCATTACTGATGATACTTCTACTATCTCTACCACTATGGGTTTTGAACTGACAATTGCTTCTCTGTGCTAATATGGTATGGCAACTTGAACTTATGTACCTACATACCAAGTTCTACGTTGTAACTGACTGTCTAACTGGTCACTGTGTTGGTTATGCTGTTGGATCCAATCTGCAAGAACAAAAATGTTGAACTTGATAACTATCTTCGGAAAATTTAAACGACTATCTGATAATTTTCATCTCATATTGTCTAATTCTTAGTCCTGAATAAATTTAACCAGTAAAGCTGCACAACACGACCACCTTATGACTGGCAATTTAAATTTTGTATCAGGTTACATACTAAATACAGTTTAGTTCACCAACCAAGTACACTATCGTGTAGTCATCTATAATTCACGTTTTGCGTAGGCTTAGTAATTCTTAGAAGATCCCTGATCCGTAGCAATCCTTAATGATAAGTACAAGGAAGAAATGTTTTAGAAGAAACCTCCACAGATCTCCTGACGCCATTCCTTGCAGTGTGTACTCGCCTGATTTGTAAATTTCGGTATTTGGCACCTTCGTATTTGCAATTTGGATAATATATTCAGATATGAAATGAGGTGAACTTTTTCCTAATGTAGGTATAGAAAACAACAGGAATTTCCGAACAGATGTAATTCACAAGGGTTTTTATTGAATCATCATCAGGTATGTCAAACGTACAATGTCTTAGCTGCGACTGTCATCTTTTCTTGGGAATGATTTCTAGACGATCAAGTACTTGTTATTCTATCCATCGATCACGGCGGGCACAAAATTATTTTAGTCGCTCTGAGAAGAAGTCTACCGGTTCGAGACAAACAACAAATTGTCCATGTTCATGGTGTACGCAACCTTCCCCTATGGATTTTAATTCATTCCATGGTGCTCGACGTTGCAGCGAATTCATGTATTTATATGCAGTCCCGAATTGGTTTTCTTTATATCCTTGCACTGAGATTTTCAAAGCTAGGTTACGACTGTTTGTAATGAATGCATTTGATCAGTAGACTTTTCTCTCTTCCTGTGGCGCATTTTATGCATGTATTTTACCACATTATAAAGTAACTGATTTTAGTGAGAGCTGGAACTATCCGAATGCTTAGTTAGCCTTATCATCTAAGCCAATGTAAGGGTGCTAATTGTTTGTTTGTGTTGAATATTCTTTCTCATGATTTTTTATTTGAAGTTGATTCTTTTTACCCTGTCTAACGCATCACAGCAGTGCTTAGCGTATACATTTGTCCCTGTTTCTAATTCGTACCTAGATATCCTTTGAAAAGCTACAGTTTCGGCACCAAAGAACCCAATTATGAACGAGATCGAAGTGTTCCTGCTCGATTTCAACGGTTACAAGAGGATTTTGAAAAGTATGGTATGCGTCGATCTGTTGAAGGCATTTTACTCGTACATGAGCATAACTTACCTCATGTGTTATTGCTCCAACTTGGTACATTTTTCAAACTCCCTGGAGGTGAATTACATCCAGGTGAAGAAGAAATTGAAGGACTAAAGCGATTATTATCTGAGGTATGTTAAAAATATACTACACCAGACCAGTTGAAAATTAATGAAGCAAATGCTTGTCTCAGATAAACGGCACAACTACTCCTTTTCTTCTATGTTTACCTCACTAACGCACTTTGATTAAAATGAATCTCTATCGAATTAGGTCTCTCAGACTGCGCAAAAATTTACTTAAACTCTTAGTGATTGTTTTCTGTTCACTATTGGACGTAGATCTGCATCGAAAACAATCCTCAACCACAACACTTCATATTAGTTATCTTCCATTTATGTATAACATTCTGAATATGAATAAATATGGTCTCTCTATGTTTGTTTGAAGTGTTGGATTAGTGATTAAGGCGTCTGTGGCTTTCACCCACATAGCCCCAAGCTTGAACTCCGCCTCACCTACCTCAATTTCAGCAACCAGGTGAGTATCATCAGTCCTTAAAATTAGTGTAGCTCATACTCAAGTACCTGATGACTAGGATTTTTATTTCCAGATTGAGCTAGACTTAATACTCGGCATAAGATTGCTCCTATGTACATGTGCGATTCGTTTCGTTCCCTTTTACACTATATTTAACAGAATTTAGCGAGATTTGACTAGGGAAATCAAACGATAAGAATGTGAAATATCTTTTGCCACTTTGAACTCTTCTCATACTTATTTGTGAATAAAATGTCATATGTATCCATATATATACCTTTTTTACATTCAGATGTTAGGTCGAACAGATGGTATCCCAGTTGATTGGATTCCAGAAGACTGTATTGGTAATTGGTGGCGACCGAATTTCGAACCGCCTCGTTATCCATATATTCCTGCTCATGTAACCAAACCAAAAGAACAAACGCGTTTATTTTTAATTCAACTTCCCGAGAAAACATTGTTTGCTGTACCATCAAATTACAAATTAGTCGCTGCACCATTATTCGAACTTTTTGATAATGCTCGAGCTTATGGTCCAATAATTTCGTCATTACCTCAAGTATTAAGTCGGTAAGTTTATATATGAGAATTTTTTTTATATGCCATAAGACGTAGGTCTTATATCTGTCTGTCAGCCAAAGAATGAGTTCAACACAAAATAGTTCACTTCGTTCCACTTTATGAGTGTAAAACAGCCATTAAGAATAAAGGATATTCATAGGTTACTAGTATTCAATTACGAGTGTCTCTGGAGCATAGCTAGTGTATTTGGGGACGATGGAGTTAGTTAGACTCAGATTTGGCTAGACATGTGTTGCCAACCGTCACCTACCTTGACGGCCGACGTCGTGTATGAGTAGGATGGAAGAAAGCTAAGAAGGCTAAACCAAAACATGCCACCAGTCCATGAAGACACTGACTATTGGAGTAAACCAAGTTAATAGGTGTAGACTACATGATTGGTTTCCACATAATTGTCTTAACCAATGATTAGCGACTTTAAATGACGTATCTCAACATTGTTCGTAATGATGCAAGTCTATCCATTCCTTGTCTTCCACCAGATTCTATACCTTTCAGTTCCTCATAACATTTTGTTTTTATTTCACTGATTTATACTTTAATCCTTTGATGCCTAACCTTTTATACTACCACTAATACTGTTATTACATCTGCTATTCAAGGATTTACCCTTGCATATCTATCTCTGTATGAATAAAAAACGGCAACTTGAACCGATGTAATACATGTGCTAGATCCTACATTGTGTTTGACTAACTGAGTATCATAGCAATCAGCCGCTACATTCAATCAGCACAGCGTGATATGCGGTAATCTGGAAAGATGCACATTTGTGCCAAATTCTAATTGATTGTTCTATAACTGTTGTTGAACAGAGTTATCGTGAATAGAGTATATATAGTAAAGATGGAGTGTACTATAGTGAATTGCTACTAATATTCCTTTATAGTCAGTCTGTCTGTCAGTGACAACGCAGAACTTCGTACGTACATACATAAGTTCAGGTTTTCATACCACATTAGCACAGAGATGCAATTGTCAATTCAAATCCCATAGTGGTAGAGATAATATAAGTATTAGCGGTGATGGAGAAGATTAGGGTTCGAAGAATTTATTCAAGTAGTGTAATTCAGTGAAATAAATGTAGGAAGAGAAAGTTAGAGATGATGAGGAATTCAGAAGATTAGAATCTAAGCGAACACAGAGAGTGGACGAACCTGTGCCATTGCAAACGATTTTGAGCCGTGTCATCCAAGGTCTCTAACCATCAGTTACTTTCGTCTCACGGACCTGAACCGAGCAGTCTACACTTACCAACATGGATTTGTGCCGTGTTTTGGTTTGACTGCCTCTAGCTTTCTTCCAACCTACTCTTACACCACAAAACAAAGGTCGTCTAGGCAGTCGATGGTTGTGCATTCGTAACACATGTACCAACCACCTCAACTGATGAAGTTTCAATACCTTATTATTGGTTTGCCATTCCTACCTAGTACTCGTTTCCTAACGATAGCATTGCTTACTCAGTTGTCCCAAGATACATGAGCAAATACTACATTTAAGATGGTTCTTCCAGAGTTGTTTTTTCTATACAGTGCAGATTGTGTGTTCGCGTATGTTCACTAGAGTATTATATATTCAAGAAAAATACATCAAAAGTTTTAAATTTACATGGTTTAAAACAAACTATTTTGACTGAAATGTGATCAGTCTTGGTTGGTACATTGGTATCTTATACGGATTACCTCAATATGGTCATTATAACCCAAGTTTATGCGGAATAGACAGAATGTGACTAGCAGTAAAGTCTAGGACGCGCGTTTCATCCTATTTGGGACTCGTCTGTAGCTACATACCAGAGTTGTTGTTTACTGCAGTACTGAAACCCAGTATTGTTTGCTTCAAACGCCATCACATTATCCACTTAGCAGGTGACAGTGCGTTCGTGTCCTGGAGTGGACACCAACCCTGGTATGCAGCTATAGACGAGTCCCAAATAGAACGAAACGCGCTCCCTGGATACTACTGCTGGTTACATTCTATATATTTATTAGTTATATGTATATCATTCTGTGTATGATCTTTATTGTGTTGTGTTATTCTGTGACTTTCCAACTTTATTTCAGCTTCAATTTTGCCTACAATGATTAAGTTTCACATACGTAAATGTGTGCAATGATTACCTTTACAATTCAGTCAGTCAACCAATCAAATAGTTAAATTTATCGTCGTTCTACAACTTTTTTTATATATTTCTAATATATATCTACTTATAAAACATACTACTCTTACATTGTTTTGTCTTTTCTTGTTGCTAAACTCATGAATTGCATTACATTCCGTTGTTGTTTGTGTAAATATATCGGTGGTGAATACAATTGTATATATATATGTATAAATATCATAAATATTTCATTACATGAGTTACGATTTCTTTTTTTGTTTTCCCTAAATTATATATGTCAGTTGACTGCATCCCATTTTTTGTAATCGTACATTCATATTCCTAGATATATTGTCCCTTCAAATGAGCTGGTTGGGTCGAGAGTGCTCTCTTCTAACCATATACCTATTTATTTGGACCTGACGAAGTGTAAATATCTGGTCTATACATCCACGTTCGAGTCTGAATTCAACCTTGTTTTTCTCAGGTCTGCTCCTTATGAGCGTCAAAGTATTATTGAAGCTAACAAGTTAGACACTATATTAGTCGAACTGTCGCCTCAGTGATTGTTACAAGAGGACTTTCGCCCTTTCTCATATACTGGGACGATCCGAGATTGAGACCTGTCAGATGGAATTACGTCCAGTTCTCCGGTTCTAGCTAACATCTCAGTCAATTTAACTGCTGAAACTGAACCGCTACCCCTAAAAATTTCGGGTTAGCTTGTCAGGGCCTACTGCTCTCCTTCACCTTAGATTCCCTATAACCTTTCCATCCTCACGAAGAGTCGGAGGACTTACATCAGTTCGCCATTGAGGTTGACTGGAGACCGAAGTGAGGCTCAAGGCCGTTCGAACTGCTCCCTGAGGTGTTCTGCCCATTGATCCAATCTCCTGAATTAAGAATAAGTCCCATTTTTTTCCGAGACAGTCTCACTAACAGTCGGATTTCCAACATCAGTTCCTGTGATAAGTCTGAATAGTTGTCTACTGTTGCCTATCGTCACTGCCTTCTCCATCTCTCTCACTTTCGCCATCCACCACTGTTCGCGATCATTGCGTAGACTTTTTATCAGCCTGCGTCTAAGCTAACTTCGCTCTTCGTCATGTTCAGAGCCAGGTGGGATCAGTTTACGAGCGTTTATCAGTTCAGTGGAAGCTGCTGAGATCCACGGCTTATTACTAACCTTATAGTTTACCTTACTAGCAGATATCAATGCAGTCTCCACAGCCTTTCGGGTATCATTCCAAGCTGCCTCCGGATAGGAATCATTTACATGGTCGCCTAACTGCTTTTCTAGTTGTTCCTGAAATATATTCTTAGCTATGCTATCATTAAGTAGAACCCTAACAGGTTTCCTTGCATTGTCTTTCCTACGTCCAGTTAGACGCAGACAAATACGCGCTCGCATTAGAGCATGATCAGAATCTAGACATGTGCCCCAGAGCAAGTGACAGTCCTCTATCGAACCACTCGGTCGGTGGCTGATAGCGGTATGATCTAGTTGGGTCCAGCGTTGGGACGACTTTGGGGGTTGCCATGTCAAAGTATGTTTTTCCTTGTGCTTAAAGTTAGTGTTTGCTAGAAATAGGTGCTTATCTGAGCATAGTTGCAGAAGACGGTCGGCATTATCTGTACGCTTAGCCGCGATACCATAGCATCCACTTACGTGTCTTTCCTTTTCACTTAGTTTACCCACTATTACTATATCAGAGTGTCTAACTTTTTGGTGGAGTTATAAAAGCTCTGTAAATCTTATCCGAGCTGCAGTTAGTGGGAGCGTAGGCAGAGACAACAAAGAGGCAATGGCGAGTTTCCCTATCTTTATGAGTACGTACTGTCCTGTTTGGTCCGACAGCGCATAAGCGACTGTCTGCCGGGATCCAGTCTAGGAGCGCTAGTTCTGCCCTAGGACTCAATGCCATACCTACACCAGCGAGGCCATGGGAAGTGGCATCACGGCTTCCAGATACACGAAGCGTAAACCGAATTGGTTCTGTATCTTAACAATGTTGCCCTATTTGACACAAGGTTCGAACATTGAAAGCTCCAATATGTAGTTTCGTTACACATGCACATAAACACGTCAATTTTGATATGCTTGAATTATTACGAGTTTACCTTAGTCGGAAAACGAGAGCGAGGATCCAGCGACACGACGTGCTACTCCAATCTGAGTGTCCCAACCCCCATTCAGTGAAAGAAGGAGACTTGATATGAAGTCGAACCTGTATTCTAAAAACATCCAGAAAGTACGAGGTCCGAGTCCAGAAGAGAATCTGGATCCCGGACTAGGGATCCAGGTCATAAAACGTTACAGATAATGCGTATTTATACATTTAGGTTGAATAGGAAACATCATTGAGGTCAGTGACATTTATATCTAGGACGACCATAAAATTGACCAGTAGGAATTAACCGATAATTCTCTTGGGATATTGGATGAAAATCCTAACAAGTTTGGAGCGGGATTTCAAGAGACCAGGAATAACGTTTCGTCGTTTGCATTAGCGGTACGGGGTAATAAAGGGATGTGAGGAGAGTTAGTCGTGGAGATAACAGAGATGTTAGGGGGTGTATGTAAGATTTAATTGTGACCGATTTAGTCTCACGTGCCGTTACGGGTATGAGGGCGGTTGTCACTTCCCGGCTGCTCACACTGTGGAAGGGTGTTTCTTGGGCAACCTGAAAAGGAAGGTAGATAAGTGTTGGTCTTAGAGACCTGGGAGCGTGACCGCAGAGCCCAAGGGTCAGCTGCTTGAGGTCGGTCAAGCAGATCCTTTTCATGGGAAGTTTTTAAAGTGTTCTCTCGGCTCTTGTTAAAAAGGCCTTACCTCCAGAGACGCAAATCCGTGGGATAAGGTGAAGTGTAACATTTTTAGTGTCGAACTTTTTTAATCTCTTCATTCCGTCGTGAGAAGGCAACATAGCTGCAGATGTTGGTTGTCCGAGAGGAATACTTTACTTTTATTACACCCGTTTACAGCCAGCAGTACGACATTGCCCTCAGACCTCAAGAGGCTGCTTTTAGTTTTATCGTTCACTAATCGACGTGTGAGGCGTAGTATGAACTGGAGAAATGTATGTTCTAGTTAATATAGGTCAGTTGAGTGATTAAGACAGGTGTAAGCTCGACCACATCAAGGTAGTAACTACAGTCGAGACTTCGAAACAAGTAGACATTTCAATTTTGTAATTCCTAAGAACCTTTTATCAGTACTCAGTAGGATCCAGTCATTTCTACATGTTTGAATTGTTGGCTTAGACTGCTGTCAGATTGCAACAGTATTAGTTGTTTCTAAAGAATATGGTTTGCTGCCTTATTTTTGTACAAAACTAGTGCGATCAAACAAGTGAGGTGTATCTCAGATGCTATGAAATTTTAAAAATATTGATATTCGTTGTTAAATATTTATTGGTGGTAATTTTACTCTTGATTAGATACCGACAAAGTGATTCATCAGGAAAAGAAACTAATTCACTTGTTTAGTTGTCAGATTGAATATGATTCTAAATGCCGTTTTCCAAAACTTCAATACAGAGTGTCACCTTTTTGTAAACTTACTCTCAAATTATATCATCTGTGTTGCAATGTACCTCCAACCGATAAAAAAAAATACTGAATTATCCAATCAGTCACACTTTCGCTGATATAATTCAAAGTATCACTTCACAGAGAAAAGTATGTTTAAATTAAGCCTTAATTCTAATACAACCACTCCCTGTTCTTTGCACATATGTGGGTCTAAAATGTATTTGAAATTTTACTCTAAAGTACTTTGAAAATGTGAAAGAAAGTACGAAACTACTCATAAGTAGCTTAAAATTCAAACAAAACAATTCATGTTAAGCTGTAGGTGTTTATGCGGATCAGTTAAACTTAATGCCCGTTAAAAATCAATGAATTTTGTGAAAATATGTTTCACTTTCTTTATTAAACCATTTTTAAGTAGTGTATAGTTAAAAACTGGCGAACTTGCATTAGGCAGCAGCTTCATATTCAAATGTTCAACTTAACAACGTCTACGTCTCCCGACCGTAGCTTCTACCTTGACGTGGTGGTCGGGCTTGCCTATCGTGATGACCCAACCGAGATTTACTGGCTGAAACATATGTTCCTGAAGGTTCTACCATGCCAGACAGGTGGATTGGAGAACGATGAGACTAAAAGCAGCTACCCAAGGTCTGAGGGCGAAGTCGTACTGCTGACTGCAGAGGGGTGTGACAGCAGTAAGGTGTTTCCCTCGGACAACCAGCATCTGCAGCGATGCTGCCTTCTGACAAGGAACGAAGGGTTAGAAAAGGTCGGCCCTAAAAATGTCACACCTCCCCTAACTCACGGATTTCCGTCTCCTGCGGTAAGGGTGCCCACTAAGGGTTTTCAAGAGCAGAGCTAATACTCAAAAAACCTTTAATAAAAAGGCCGTGCGTGACCGGCCTCAAGCAGTTGTCCCTTGGGCTCTGCGGTCACGCACCCAGGTCTCTAAAACCAAAACTAATCTATCTTCCTTTTCAGGTCCCTCAAGAAACACCATTCCATGGTGTGAGCAGCCTGAAAGTGACAACCGCCCTCATACCCGTAACAGCACACGTCTATGTCTAATATAATCGTTTTTTAATATTTAATAGTCGCTTATCCATTTACTTACTCAATTTTTTTTTCAAAAAAAAAGTAGCTACATCTGTAATTAATTTATCTTGATCTTTGTTTGAAAATGTTAAAAAATTTAATCCTGGAAGCTTTGTTTAAGATTATTACTGCATACTATAAACCTAGTAAGACCGACCACATAATAACTGAGTATTTTTGTATTGGTCATTGTGTTCTGTACGCATATATATATATGCATTTACAAATAACTGGGTAGAGGAGACAAAGCACCATCATCATCATCATCATGCCTATTATCTTATCCTATAGGTGTGTGTGTGTGTTTTTCTCTCTAAATAATCGGTGTTCTACCTATAATTCTATCTAGAAAAAAAAAAATCCAGTAAGATTATTACTATTGTCCAAATTTTAGTCCAAATAAATTCTATTTTAATTGGAATTACTTAACTAACTAACAGCAAATGTTGCATATCAAGGTTGTCTGATTATATTGTTTCACTTTTGTATTTGTTTGTATGGTAGACTCGACCAATTTGATGATCGTTTTGTTAAGTTAAAACTTATTCTTGCAGAGAATTAGTAAACCCTGGGTGCTAAAAATGTATTATAGTGTCAGTCTTTATTATTATTATTATGCTGTAACTAGCCATCCTT